GGGGGTGAGGCGGCGGCGGCTGCGGGGGAAGGGGGAAGCGTCGCAGCGGTGACTGCGTCGGTGGGGGCTGTGGAGGATGTGGCTGTTGCCGCGGAGGCGCCAGCGGAGGCCGTGACGACATTGGGGCTGGCTGGCGGAACTGCCGCCGCTTTTGGCGGCGGCTCAACTTCACGCTCTGCAAACCACCAGGTGGCACAACCGCAGACGCTGGAGCTGGGTCAGTCGTTGGATCAGGATCCGTCTGAGGCGGTGGCCTTGTCTGCATCACCGGCGCCGGTAAAGGCGGCGGTGTTGGCTGTGGAGGTGACTGCTTTGACCGCGGCAGAGAACCTGGCCGACACCCCGGTCGAGGGGAAGGTATCGGTGGCCGCTGTGAGCGCTGGAACATCTGCTGCTGCCGAGGGCGCAGACACGCAGGAGCGCGACCAGGCGGCGAGCGGAAGACGGGGTCACGGGAACGGCGCCCCTGGGCGCGTCGCTCGCGGAAAGGGCGGGAGGAAGTTCCGTGCCCAGCCAGCGCCAAGGCGGCCCGGAGCAGGGCTGGGACCTAGCGCCCCGGGTAGTGGGTACAAGTTCTAACTCTAATATTGGGTTGTACTCCACATGGGCTACCCCATTATAGCATACACACAACTAGCACCAGGCCCTCAGAAGTCAGAGAAATTTGTCTGATTTGCATGAAAAACTCTGAGAATTCAGATTTTTTTTTCAAGTGAGCTCTGTTAAAAGCAGAAATTTTAGGGCCCCAACTCTGTAATTTTCAGAGAAATTCTAAAGCTAACTCTGACGTTTCAGAGTTTTCTGTGAGTGTACTCTGATCATCCAGAGTACAAATGCGTACCGATTCCGTTTTCCGCTTGCGTTCTTGACTGGTGATTCGGTTTGAACTTCACGGGTCATAGCAGATTCGCTAAGTCAATGCAAAATCGGCTTGAAACAGCAAATATGCGCCTTACAGCACAGAATTTTCGCCCAATCACAGCAAAATCGCACTGACGCAAAAGATTCGCGCCGTCAGAGCACAAAAATTTCGACCTATCACCTTGAAATTTCACCTGACATTCCAGATTCGCCCTTTCACACCACAAAATTTGCCCTGACACAGTTTTTCGCCCTGTCAGAGCATGTTCTCCCTAAAATCCCCCTAGTCTAGCATGTTTCAATATCAGATGAAACATTGATTACATTTCTGATGAAACATTAGATACATTGATGTTTCAGACTTTTTTCCTAAGGCACTCTGAAAATTCAACTTTTTTTTATACCGACTCTAAGGGTTTCAGACTAAAATTTTGTACTAGTTTGATGAATCAGACAGGCAAAAAACGAATCTGAGGGCCTGACTAGCATAGATATAGTTTGACACACCCCCATAGGCAAAGTGGGGGAGAACAAGGGGTCACACGACCAGTCAAGAAAAGCAAAGCAAGCTCAGGGTGGATCACAATGTCACAAGACACTCCGAGCACAAGCAAAGGGGCCACAAGGCCAGTTCACATGCAAAGGCATATATGCAACAACAGCAGTATAGTGATCACTACCTAGCAAGAGTAAACATGCAGGTATCTACATATAAATCACAGTACAACCAGGGTCTACAGTAAGTGAGGAAACATAGGCACCAGGCCTAGAGCACTTCAAAAGCGCTGATGATCACCAGCCGAAAGGGCCTTGGTGAACACATCAGCCGTGTTGGCCCAGGTGGGCACGTGAGCGACACGAAGCTGACAACGCTGCTGCAACTCTCAAGCAAGGAAGTAATGCAGAGCGATGTGCTTCGTTTTGTGCTCCATTCCGTGGTCCTGACACAAGGCAATGGCAGCCTTGTTGTCGATGTATAGAACTGGAGGAGAACGAGGCCTCTGGTTAGGATTTGAGCCTCTCTTTCTGGTAAGGCCAATGCTCCGTCTTCACTCTTTCTAAAAGGGTACTTGACAGAAATGCTCTTTCATAGCAGGGTTTATACTTAGCGGACACTTACCATATATCTGCTCAGCTTACAATGTCTCGTGTTCAGGCCCTCAGAAGTCAGACCTTTTGTGAAATTTTAGGAGAGAGAAGAGGGTTGAACTAGCAAGAATGGGGATACAAATAGCAAACCCTAGAAGGGTTGTACTCGCTATGGAGCACCCCACTACAGGCTAGAGCATAATATTCTGACACACCCCCATAGCCAAAGTGGGGTGTAATCAGCAGAGCAAGCAAAGCAGTACAAGCTCAGGGTGGATCACAATGTCACCACACATTCAGAGCACAAGTTCAAGAAGCAATAGTTTAAGGTTAACAATTATGAGCAAAGCTAGTGGTAGTCACAACGGGCAAGTGAGGAGGAGGAGAGAGAGTGAGAGGAGAGGAGATAAGAGTGACGAATGAAGCTGCAGACACACGGGCAACAGGAGGCACACTGGCACAGCGGCTACCGGAACAACGCTCCGGAATACTGGAGTAACTGGCCCCGCGGCAAAAGTAGCGGCAGACAAGCAACGGACCCACGGGCGGCTGGCACAGCTGGCTATTACTGGGCTACCGGATGAAGTCCCCGGAATACATGTGCTGCTGGCGACACGACGGCAACCTCCATTCAGCTTCCCCAAACTATCCCACACTCCCTGGCACATACCCGCTGCTACACCGCTAGGGTCACTCACACCCCACCCCCTAGCACAACTCCGTCGACTCCCACATACCCACCCCCCTCAGCGGCAGCTGCGGCAGTGGGAGACAGAGGAGGAGGAGGAGCAGGGGAGACCACACACCCGCCACCCCCCAACTCGCCACCCCCAAACCCGAACACAGGGCAGGGCGGGATGGCGTGTATGGAGGCTACGGGGGGGGGGGGGGGGGGCGACGCGCGGCCTCCCTAGGCGCCAAAGTAGGCGGCAGAAGGAGCGACTCTCGCCCCCACCCCCACGTCGCCCCTCCCGTGGCCCCCGAAGGAGCCGCGACGGGCGACAGGAAAAGAGGGGGGGGGCGGTGCACGTGCCCCCGGTGCGCCGCGGCTGACGACGATGCATGGCCGGGGCGGGGCCGGGGCCGCAAGTGGCAGCGACGGGGCCGCTGGCGGCGACGACGGGGCCGATGCGGGCGGGGACGGGGTCGTTGCGGGCGGCGACGGGGCCGCTGCGCGCGGCGACGGGGCCGCTGCGCGCGGCAACGGGGCCGATGCGGGCCGCGACGGGGTCGTTGCGCGCGGCGACGGGGCCGCTGCGGGCGGCAACGAGCCCGCTGCGGGCGGCGACGGGGCCGATGCGGGCGGCGACGGGGCCGACGCGCGGGTCCCCGTCGCCTGTTGCAGCGCCTCCCGAGGGCGACGCGCCGAGTGACGGGGCAGAAGCCCGCCGCGCGCCTCGGGGCGCACAGCGGGCAGAGAACCGCCGCGTGCCTCGGGGCGCACGGCGGGCAGAAAACCGCCGCGCGCCTCGGGGCGCACGGCGGGAAGAAAAAACTGCCGCACGCCACGGGGCGTGCGGCACAGCGAGTAGCAGTAGCAGTTGCAGCGGAAGCAACGAGGTGGTGAGCCCACCCACAGGATCGATCCAAGAGGATCGACCTGCTCTGATACCATGAGAAAGTTGAAAAGAAAGAAGAGGGTTGAACTAGTAAAAATGGGGATACAAATAGCAAACCCTAGAAGGGTTGTACTCGCTATGGAGCACCCCACTACAGGCTAGAGCATAATATTCTGACACCTTTTTCTCTGATTTGGCAAAAAAACTCTGATATTTCAGATTTTTTTTTTCAGTGTACTCTGTAAATTTCAGACTTTTTAGGGCCTCAACTCTGAAAGTTTCAGACTTTTTTTAAGGCTAACTCTGAAATTTCAGAGTTTTCCGGGAGTGTACTCTGATCATTCAGAGTACAAACACGATCTTGACTGGTGATTCGGACTTCACGGGTCACAGCAGATTTGCATTTCCAACGCAGAATCGCCTTGACACAGCAAAATCCGCGCCTTACAGCACAAAATTGTCAGAGGTCTACTGGTGATCCCCGATTGATCCTAGGGAAGGGTGACAGGCTCCTTGTTCTGGGGGGTTATGGGCGCACTGACCCGCTACTTAACAAGCCCTTTTATCCCAATGGTCTATTGGTTGGGATTCTGACATGGTATCAGAGCGAAGGTCTCGGGTTCGAATCCCAGTGTGTGCACTTCGGGCATCCCAGTGCGGGGGGGTGTCAGAGGTCCACTGGTGATCCCCGACTGATCCTAGGGAAGGGTTACATGCTCCTTGTTCTAGGGGGTTATGGGCGCACTGACCCGCTACTTAACAAGCCCTTTTATCCCAATGGTCCAGTGGTTGGGATTCTGACAAAACTTTCGCCCAATCACAGCAAAATCGCCCTGCCACCACGGATTTGTGCCGTCACAGCACAACTTCTTCGTCCAATCATAGAACAATTCCACCTAACATTGCAGATTCACCCTTTCACACCACAAGATTCGCCCTGACACAAAAATTCGCCATGTCAGAGCATGTTCTCCTGGAAATCCCCTTAGTCTTGCACGTTTCAGTAACAGATGAATGAAACATTGAATGCATTTCTGATGAAACATTGAATACATTGATTTTGAATGTTCAGACTTTTACTTCACGACACTCTGAAATTTCAGACTTTTTTTTATGCCAACTCTGAGAGTTTCAGACAAAAACTGTGTACTAGTCTGACGAATGAGACAGGCTAAAAACGAATATGAGGGCCTGCTCATGTTGCAGACAGTTGTGGTGTAATTTTGGTGCTAAGGATGCAGGTTCGATATCCGATGAAGGAGAAGTCTGTTGTGGAATTCCGGAATGTCATATTTTATGCGGAAAGATGTAATATCCCTGTTAGAGCGAACTCGGTTTCGTCAGTGTGTCTACACCTCTTAACTCTGAAATATCAGTGTCCTAGAACCAAACACATCTTTTGTAAGGGTCTAGAAATGAACCACTCTGAAAAAAAAGGGTGCATCATGAAAACCAGCCTTTTAGTCAACATCATAAGGGTGATTCACCGTGTTAACCAGAGGCCTGCCTCTCTCCCAAGTCGGTCAGCAGGTAGGTGAGCCAGCGTAGCTCCTGTGCAGCCATGGCTGTGGCGTAGATCTCAGCCTCACAGCTCGAGCTGAGAATTGAAGACGAGCGTATAGACCGCCAACAAACAGAGCCAGCGCCAAGGCTGAACGAGTAACCCTGTGATGACCGCTGCGTAGCTAGGTCGTCAACCAAAGAAGCATCTGAGTGCCCAGTGAGGACAACTGAGATCCACCCTCCAAGCACGAGCCCTATGCCCGATGTACGGCACAAGTAGCGCAGTACCCTCTTCGCAGCATCCCAGTGCACCTTTCGGTGCCTACCAGGAGCCATGTAGCATGCCAAAAGGCCAAGAGGGTACGCGAGGTCAGGACGAGAGCAAATCATCAGGTACATGAGGCAGCCCACTAACTCTGGGTACGGGCCACTCGGCTCTACGGACTCGTCCGAAGGTAAGGCTGAGAGCAAATGACTGGTAGCCAGAGGAGTAGACTGTGGCAAGGACCAAGTGAAGCCGAAACGCTGAAGGACCTGCTGCACCATGTGTGACTGAGTCAGTGTGATGGTGCGCCGTGCTCTATCCTGGGAGATCTGCAGGCCAAAGTAGCTGCGTAGCTCACCCAGGTCTGTGCACGTGTGTCTCTTCTGGAGCTCCGACTTCACAAGGGCGAGAGCCTCAGTGTCAGCAATGGGAAAGACTAAGTTGTCGACGTACACGAGGATGTAGAACGGCAGCAATGAAGAGTCGGTGCGTAGAGACAGCGACGGGTCAGCAGTGGAAGGTGCAAGCCCAAGAGCCGCAAGTGTCATCCTCACAGTGTCGTGCCACTCACGAGGCACCTGACGGAGACCGTAGATTGGCCGGCGGAGGCTCCACTGGGTACCAGGAGGGAACGACCCACTAAAGCCAGGTGGGCGGCGCAGCCAGATCTCCTCGTGCAGATTGCCCTCTAAGAACGCTGTGCTGAAGTCCAGAGAGTGAAGCTCGTAATCACGCTGAACGGCGACGTACAGCAGTACCCGAAAAGTTGTCATCTTCGGGGTGGGGGAGAAGGTCTGGAAGAAGTCAACTCCCTATCGCTGACTGAAGCCTCGTGCAATGTAACGAGCCTTGAAGACAGGCGGAGAACCTGGCGGCCGCTTCACCCTGAAAATCCACATGCCATCAACTACGTTCGCCCCAGGAAGGGGAACTGCGTCGACGTAAGTGCCTCTGGACTTCCAGGATTCCATCTCTGCGTCCATGGCTGTCTGCCACTGAGAGGAGTACTCACCCGTGATCGCCTTTGCGTAAGAGCGCGGGGTCGGGATGTCTGGTGCATCTAGGTCTCCCTCAAGGGCAAGCAGCATGGCCTCGAGATGAGGTACAGCGGCTGCAAGACATTCCAAGTCTTCATGCCTGACCTCAAGGACGTCCGTGCCAAGAGCACACTTACCCTCGACGGACGGAAGACAGACAGACTCAGACTCAACAACAAGACTAGCAGCGAAGTCAAGAGGACAAGCAGCAGCAAAGTGAACAAGCTCAGAGACTAAGGCAGACGCAGCAGCAGACTCAAACGACGGGTCGGTGACAATAGTGGCTAGCAGACGCGTGATACTAGGGTGAGCGGCACGAACCAGATCAGACTCAAGGCCCTGAACGTCAGGCAGAGAAGAAGCAGGAGGAGACGGTAGAGGAATACGCTGTGGAACAGAGGAATGACGAAGTGCCACAGCATGCGTGCCAGAGACAGGAGGCGTTCGCTCACGAGGAACACGACGACCCGTGCAATGCGCGCGAACAGGCAAGGCAGGACGAGACGCAGGCTCACGACGCTCTGTAACCAAGTGTGTCTGCTTAGTGTAAGGAGAAGGAGCAGACAGTGGTGCGCTAGGCTGTAACGGGACGCAAGTAGAAAACGGGAGGCTAAGAACCTGGCGAAGCACGGAGTCAGGCGGTGGAAGAGACGACGGTGACGGCGGAGCGAAAAATGGTAGTGGCGGTGCAAGTGCCACCAATACCAGTAGCTCCAGCGCCTTCAGCAGCTCTAGAACCTCCAGCTCCTGCGCCTCCACCAGCAGCACCTCCAGCTCCAGCGCCTCCAGCAGCTCCAGAACCTCCAGCTCCAGCGCCTCCAGCAGCAGCACCTCCAGCTCCAGTGACTCCAGCAGCAGCACCTCCAGCTCCAGCGCCTCCAGCAGCTCTAGAATCTTCAGCTCCAGCGCCACCAGTAGTAGCACCCCCAGAATCGGCACCTCCAGCCCAAGATCGTAGCGGCTGCCAAGATTCCAGTGTTTCAGCGCCAAGGGGAGCGCGAACAGACCAGGGCTCGCTGGTCAAGGAGGTGCTGAAGAACTTCACCCACGAGAATTTCAATGGTGAGGGCTATGATGATTGGGCCTGGAAAATGCAATTGTATTTCCGTCAGATCGTTTTGCTGAAACTAATGATTGGGGAGGAGCCTAGACTCAGTGACCCCACGCTGCAAGAAGATTGGGAAGAGCGCTCCTTGGCTGGCTACTGTTTGATGTCGCAGAGTATGGAGCTGAACCAGCGTCACCATGTTTATGCACTTGCTGCTGGAGGTTGAGTGCGGTCCGAAGGCGTGGACCGTGTTGAAGGAGCTGCATGCCCCAACTTCTGTTGTTCCAACGTTAATGCTGGAGAGGGAGCTGTCCGCGTTGCGCCTGAGCAAGGGAGAGCCGGTGCAACCTGTCCTGGACAAGATGCGTGATCTCTACGCGAAGCTGGCGATCGCGGGAATCACCTACCCGGAGCAGACCAAGTGCTTGAATATGCTCTCGCTGCTGCCGGAATCGTGCCTTCAATTCACGAGCGGATTGCGCCTGCGGCAGAACCAGAGCTCGTGGACACTCGAGTGGGTGTGGACAAAGATCCTGGAGGAGGACTTCCGTCGCCTCCAACTAAGGGGTGGAGACGACGGCAAGAGCGGCTATGGGATGCAAGGGGGCCGACGTGGCAGAGGACGTGGCTTCGGTGGTGCTGGATGCGGTGCAAAGAAGGACGACGACTCTAACGTCCAACAAGGAGGTACCGGTTGGGGTCGCGGTGCGAAATCTGGACGTGGGGGCAAGTCGGGTGCTGGTGGCAAAATGAAAGGGAGTTGCTGGTATTGTGAGAAGGAGGGGCACCCCTGGTTTTTGTGCTATAGGAAACCCAATGGATGGACCCCCCAGAATCGTCACCAGGATGGCGCCGCGCGGAGGAACCAGAAAAACGGCGCGAGCATGGTCGCCGATTCATCTGACAACAACCCTAAGAGCAACAGCGATGCGGAGAAGAAGAAGGAGCGCACCACGGGCCAGTTCTTCCATATTGGAGAGCAGGGGGAGCAAGAAGACACCTCTGCCAAGTTTGGAGCAGAGCTGCACCCCCTGAACTATTGGGTGTTGGACACGGGTGCTGCTTGGACGATGACGCCGCGCAAGGACCTGCTGGACGACGTACGCGCTGCACCAATCAATGAGGTGTGCTCTGCCTCTGGACACGCGCTGAAGGTGGCTCGTGCGGGATGAGCTACGTTTAAGGGAGCGGATGGCAAACCGGTGGTGCTGCACGACGTTCTCCTCGTTCTTGAACTCAAGGCCAACCTCATCTCCCTCTGTAAGCTTGGCAAGGATGGGGTGAGCACTAGCACGGATGGGGCACGCATGTACAATGGGCAGCTGGGCAATCGGGTGCTTTGGGATCTGCACGAGAGCAAGGACGTGTACAGATCCATGTGGCTGCTGCCGGGGTTGGTGTGGCACGATGGGGGGCATGCTGGAGAGGGGTGTGCACTCCAGGGGGAGTGCAACGCCGTTGGAGGGGTTGGTGTGAAAGTGTCGGCCAGATTTGGTGAGACGGATTAGGCAACGGCACACCTACGCTTGGGGCATGTAGCAAAGCCTTTGCTGAAGCAGCTTGAGAAGGATGGGTTTGTCAAGGGTCTCAAGCTGAATGGCCAGGCACCTGATGACAACTGCTCTTGTATGTGCCCATCGATCTCCCAAGTCGACCGTCACTTCCAGTCGACCTCCCCAGGTCGACCACACCCTTGGTCGACCATAACCAGGTCAACAATGCTCCTAGTCGATAAGCTCCAGATCGACCAGCACTCCTGTCAGCCGGCCACCCAAGTCGGCTCCCCCAAGTCGGCATCACCAAGTCGACACCCCGCTACTCGACGCGTAGCTGCTTGGCGCCCTCCAGCTCAGCGTCCCCTGTCGAGGAGGTCGACGTCGGCGCCTCCCTTCGTCGACCACCTACTGATTATGTAGGTGGTTGTGGTATTTTGCTCAAGCTGGTTGTGGGCTTAGGGTTTGGGAAAAATGTGGTGGTTAGACTTGTTGCGGGCTGGAATTGAACTCGCACCTGACAAGGACCAACAAACCTTTGCTGTTCACTTCAACACCTTTGGTGTTGCTTGGTTGGCACTTTGGGTTGTTGGGGATTATTGTAAGGCGAGGGTTGGGTTGGTAGGGTTTGACCAACTCGTCACTTTGCGGATCTGAACTCTTGTTAAATGTTCTTTCTTGATCTAATCCATGGCTGCCAAGTAATTCTGCCAGAATACCCCGTCACACTTAAATCGCGATATCGATCGGCCTAGATCTTGGTTGAAAACGTGCGTTACTATTCTGGAAATTATATATTACTACCTTTCCAACGGGTACCTGCTCATAGTTTAAGGTTACGTGAGCTGCACGCAATGTTCCGTCGAAGTCGGCGGACTTAGAATTTAGGTTACGCTCTCCATTTTAGCACGCTTTCCATCAGTGGTATCAGAGCGAGTTAGGCCTGCGACATTCTCTCTTTTCATCATATTTCGAATTGGTTTAAGGACCTCCAGATCTAGGGTTACTCATGGCCTAGAAATTAGATGGCCCTCCTAGGTTCAGCGGCTTGGATTTTTCGTTATGGCGGTTCCAGTTTACGCTTTGGCTAGGTATCAAAGACCTAGAAGGCGTTTTGGAGGGATCAGAGCGAAGACCTAAAGCTGATGAAGCAGAGGCATCTGCTGGAGTGTCTAACCAAGAGGGAGCAGGGGCTAGGGGAGCCTCTCGCTCATCTATAAGTGAGGGAAGTGGAGGTGCATCAGCAGCACCGCGAACCAGAAGGCAACGGCTTAGTGCGGAGGAGCTACTTAAGGCACAGGAAGCATGGGACCGCAAGAACAAGGAAGCGTCCCAGTACCTGTGTTGGGCTTTGGAAGGCCAGCTAGAGCTCCTAAAGATGCTGATTGACCTGAAGGGGAAGCAAGTAGCAGCTGCCCAAGCATGGAAGAGAGTTCAAGATCGACATTTGCAAAAAGGGTTGCTAAGCATACTCACCTAGAGGAAGCGGTTCTACACCATGGAACGCAACTATGGTGATGGAGAGACCATGGTGCAGTATCTCCAGAGGGTGGATGAGTATGTGAGGGCCTTGGAGAAGTTGAACTACAAAGTAGATGAGAAGGAGATCATTTACACCGCTCTCCACGGGCTGGACCAAGAGGCGGACGAGGCCCTACTGCAATCTTCACCTTGGGCAGCGGAAATGGACCAAGGCCTGGATATGGGAGGTGTTGGTCTCTGATGAGGCTCGCAAGCGTGATGCTGGTAGAGGAGTTGAAGGGGGAATGAGGGCAGGTGATAGGGCTGCCTCCAAGAAGTACCAGCAGTGGCAAGGAGGTGGGGGGAAGAATAAGGAGCTCGACAAGTGCCTCGTCCCTGGATGCAACCGGAAGCACTCTCGGAAGGGGTGTTGAAGTCGACCAGATGGGTGGAAGCCTTAAGGGTACCCAGGAGAGGCTCCACCTGTCACTAGGCCTGAGTGGGTGGAGAGGAGGAAAAATAATGGAGCATGGAACAAGAAGTGCAGCAAAGAGAAAGCAGCAGCAGCGGCGGCAAACGATGATAAGAAGGGAAAGGAGGACTCATCAGATGATGGTTTCTCCTTCTTATAATCGGAGAAGGAGATGGCGCTTTCTGGTCATGTGTTGGCTAACCCCAATCAGCTCATTCTAGACTCTGGGCCAACCTGTGGAATGGTACCTCAGCGCGACCTC